GCTGGTCTTGGCTAGGTCGCTGGCTTTAGTGATTCATGGTTGCCGCTGTTGATCTTGCCAAATGTGGTCTTGGACGGGCGTCGTTGCCTTAAGGGTAATCTTGTTCGAGAGGCATTGAGGAGCTGATGCGGTGCATCATCATGTGGGGTATCCATTTCCGGAACGCAGGTGATGACCTGCGAGATGTAGAGATGTACTTGAGTTGTAGATGAGGAGCGCGGGAATTAATTTTGCAAATTGTGAGATGGTCCTCTCGGCAACCATGATTAGGGTCATAGTTGCGAGAACCCATCAGGGTTCAAGTTTCCACGCTGCGGGGCGTGGAAACTCGGACGGGGGGTTCCCCAGGCGTGTTGCTGCTCAACACGGCCCGGTGACCCACTGACTCGCCTTTGACGACGTTCTTTTGGTCGGTGAATGTCAGCGAAGCCGCGGTGAGGCGACTAGGGTCAGACACGTCATTCAAAGAGATTTTGTCAGCGGTGACTTGGAAGCGACCAGCGATGGTGAAGGTGATGTCTTCAAGTAGAAAGGCCTGGCTGCGGGCCTCAGGGTTGTTGGTGTCGAGGTACTCAGCCGGCCGGAGCAGCCAAAAGAAGGCGCATATGCAGAGGTCCCGAGTGTGTTGATTGACGTTCCACGGATGGGGTGAACGTAGTTGAGGACGGAGAGCATGGATCGGAGGATGGAAATGTTGGCAGGGTAGGCCTGGTCTGGAGGTCCATCGGCATCGTGGAGTCCTTTGTAGTAATTAGTGAGTAAGGGATGGAGCTTTCCATCCGTGCCGAGTCTGGGATCAGGCTCAATAACTTCTTGAAAGGATCAGGGTAGATCCACAAGAGATGAGGATGGCCACAGGGCCTCCTCTGCTTACAGAGTTTCCAGCTCCTAGAGCTGGTACTGATGTTATTCTATCACGATGCTGGTCAGCCTAGCAAAAGCGCTGTCAGCTTACCTCCTCAGTGCCTACTGCTCAGCCTCAACAGGATGGGTATCTACTGCAAAGGAACAAGGGAGCTTCAGGTCTAGATGGTATCAATATCAACACTTTACTTCTTTAGACAATGAGCAAAAGCATGCATCCAAATAATTGGGTGTTATGCAGGAATCATCACTCTGAGCCACACTGAGGCTCTTGGATCCTCCTGAGGTCACCTGATTGAGTAGATGCTCGCCTCATGGCCATCTGGGGTGATACAGTGGTCAAAACCTTCATATGGGGCCATATGGGGCTTCCCTGGTCCCATATGTATGGCCTATGTCTTACCAGTATCAACCAAGGTTCTCTATATCTTTGCTTGTTCCACATACCATGTGGGTACCAGTAACATAAGACAGACAGGTTGTTCTCACACTCACCACGTTGATCCCATGGATCCAACCCACATTTTATCGCTCCCCTCCATCGGATTCATCCGGGGTGAGTGTGTCCAGGGTATTCCCTTTCCAGAACATCACTGCTCGCAACATTGGCCAAATCTGAGAGTAACTCCAGTGCTTCGTGAGGATGTCAGCTGGGTTGATTTCTCCTGGCATGTGATGGAAGGAGATGGTTCCTGCTGCAATGCTTTCCCTAACAAAATGGTAGGCCAGTGCATGGTGCCTTTTCTTGAGCGGGGAGTGGGGCTGTGTCGAGCTTGTGCAAACGGACCCATTGTCTCCGAACATGTATGTGGGGCCTTGCACTGGAACACCAAGGTATCTCAATGTGATACGGGCAGCGACAGCTTGTTGGGAAGCTATCTTGGCCGCAACAAACTCGGAACCATAAGTCGCCACTTCGACGGTGGCCTGCTTCTTACAGTACCATTCAAAGGGAGTCTGATTCACGTAGTGTAGGACTCCAGTGACGGCTCTCCCCGTCACCCAATCGTGGTATAAGTTGGCATCCACGTAGGTGGTGAAGACCACGGGCTTGCCCTTGGGAGCAGGTGCGTCACCAGGGAGTTCCTCTTCAGCTCCTTGGTACACTGTCTTTGTCCAGTCATACTTCCTGACTTCCAACTGGGAGTAATCCGGAATAGCGGTTCGTACACGGATGCCTCCATGCTTCATCTTGACCAGGTAACCGGTAATCCTCTTCAATCGATCCAGGTGGCCAACACGGGGAGCTACTCGGAACGAGGAAAGCGTCATGACTGCAACTCCAACATCAAACCTTCCAAGGGAAATAGCCCACTGGATTCCTCCAATTAGGGACTGGTACTTGGTGATCCCATCATCGTCCAACAGTGGGGAAGTATCAAGCTCCGGGTGATCATTCTTCTCAACAGGACTGGTCACTTTGGTGGACGGCTTCTCCCCAAAGAGGGTAAGGTATTGTGCTTCCAAGCGGTCGATGTACTTGAATGGTGACATTGTGAGTGTCCCATCCTCATCGCGTTTGAAGTTGCATCCTAGGTGGAACTCCACCTCACCAGTGCCTTTGAGTTTGAACTTGTGGGGCTCGGCCATCAGCCCATCTATGATTACTTGGGGCTCACGTGATGCAATGAGCAGGTCATCAACGTAGCACGCAATGTACTCATAGTGGTCTCCTCGATCCTTCATCCAGATGTCAGACTCAGCACGTGAGGGCTTGAATCCCATGGAGTAGAGCACATCAAACAACTTGTCATGCCAGCACTTTCCAGAAGATTTTAGTCCATATTGTGCCTTGATCATCTGCATTGTGTGTCCAGCCAGGGGTCCAAACTCGCCTCCGGCAATGAAGCATACCTTTTCAGTTGTGTAGGACTCCAAGTATGCATTACCAACATCCGTGGCCCACAACTCTAAGTCATTCAATTCCGCAATGAAGGTGACAAGGCGAATTCCTTGCAGAGAGACAACACCTGAATACACAGAATCAGTTGGCGTCTCCGTTCTGTGTCCACCTGCCACAAACCTCGACTTGTGGCGTCCATCTATCTTGATGTCATACACCATATGGCAGGGGATCTTCTGGAAGCCCTTTGGTACTGGCGCTCCGAGACCTAGGCTCTTGAACGTGTCGTATTCCAAGAGCTGTTTGATCTCGAGTTCTTCTGAGTCCTGCCACTTTGTGTTTCCATTCTTTTCGTCGATGAAGACCGCCTCAGCATGGTTCCTTGGAACCTGGTGCCCATACTTGTACACTGGCTTGTTCCGGAAGTTCTTCAGCCTGGCTTGGTGAATCATCCTAGCGAATTTCTTTGCATTCTTCGTGTAGGGTCTACACCGCTTCCATCCATCCACACCAACCAGGTTGTTCTTCACCGCATACAGGGAAACAGAAACTGGATCATCATTGAAGATGAACCCCATATCTTCCCATGTCTTGCACCCACTTGCCCATTCAACAAGGATCTCAAACTTGGAGCGTGTCTTGGATGGCCTGTGGTCTTGGACAGAGTCAATCCTGAACATGTCGTCCAGGTCAAGGTCACGGTCACACCATTCGAGCATCTTGGAGTAGGCCTTGGTCTCCTCGAAACACTTGTCTCCATGCTTGCATCGGAATCTGAAAACAGCCTCCTTGCCATCAGCGTCAGTCTCACCTGTGGGTGTCGCAGAGACAATCTTGGCTCTTGCCTGCTCCCCATTGTCGTCCGGGTTGGTTATGAACGTTCGGTTGAGCAAGCCTGACACATCAATGGTCGGTAGTGTGCCACCTTGGAGAATGTCATCCTCTCTCAGGTGTGAGCTGATATCGTGCCGGATGGCGTCATGGAACACTGTAGCGTTCTGGGTCTCCCCAAGATCAACCTATCTCCTCAACCAGACGGAGTTAGAAGGATCCAAAGATAGCCACAACAAGCTCTCCACCAGCTTCATCCACCAGGACCATTGAACGCTAGCTAGCACTGACTGCAAACTCTCCAGTCAACAGGAACAGCACTACTGCAAACCCTCCAGCCAACAGGAAGCACCATACAATATGACCTCCAAACAGCAGTCGTCCCTGATGGACCACTTTGCACCACCCAAAGGCGCTGACAAGGGACCAAACCAAGGAAAACACAAGAAAGAGAAAAAGAAGGGATCCCAGCCGAACAACCAAGCGACCAAACCCAAACCAGCACACCCAGAGCACCCCAACGCAACATCCCCAGAGAAAACACCAAGGCGGCGCCGAAACAAAAGAAACAAGGACTCACCCAACCCAACGGAAAAATCACCAACATCCGACCCCACACCCAAGGCAATGAAAGCAGGAGGAGAGCCTATGCAACATGGTGTCCCCCAGAACGAAGGTGGATGACATCATGGCAACACCCCCAGACCTACCGAGACATGCAGGAACCCACCAGACCACTGCCAAGCACAAGATTACACCAGGAAACGAAGAAACACCTGGCACCGGACTGCCCACCAACCACTTCCTGCCACACAACCCAGAAACTGAAATCCAGTTCGAAAACATCCCCACTGATGATCCAACCACAGCCAGAGCCACCCGCCCAGAAGCTACCGCAAGCTCATCCAGCTCCACAAGCTGCAGTACAAACCAACCAGGCGAACCGGCAGTCAATGTCGACCACGAAGAATCCACTGAAACAGACGACGACACACACCGGGAGACGCCAAAGACTACCAAGTCCGTCAGCATCTTCGAGGTAGACGGCAAGGATGCCAGGACTGCCGCCCTGCCTAAGGCCACCCAAGACGATGCACAACTGACGGAATCTCCCCTGAAGCAAGCAGGGAGCACACCCAGACCAGACAAGACCCCTGATGACCAACCAGAGACTCTGCCAGAGAAACCCACACCAGACCCTGACAAGGACAAGCCACAAAAGAAGGCAGAGACGGCCAAACAAGACAATGATGAAGCGGCAACACAAGTTACACAGGAAATGATCCGGAGGAACCTGTGCATCATAGGCGACCCTACACCGACCACCAAAACATGGTACGGCACTGGATCACTGTCCTGTGAATATCT